GGGAAAGAGAGGGAGGGAGGGAGACACAGAGACACAGAGAGCGGCGGAGACAGAGGGAGAAAGGAGCTGACTCAGGGAGAGAAGACTGCAGAGACAAGCCAAGGCTCCATCTCAGATGCGTCGTCACCACCAGCAAAGGGCTCCCCGGGCGCAGTATCGCGTCACCACATGTGTTCAGCAAACCCTAGCATTCCAGCAAGAGCCCAAGAGAGAAGCCGTGTGCACACTGTCCCAGCAAACGTATCCTCCATCTCCGTGTGTCCACACCAGGCGGTGATGTGCCGCCAGCCTGCCCACCTGCAGTCCCCAGGCCGGTGGCGGAAAACAAGGGTGACACAGAGGGTGATGGGAGCACAGAGGGCAACACAGACGCCCCACGGGGCTGCCGTGGAGCTGGGGCTAAGGGCAGGCGGGGGCCCCTGGAGGGAAGAAGGCAGTGAGGGTGCCCGGGCACAGCCAGACCCCCACGGGCTCGAGAGCGTCACTCTGAAAGGGACAATGGCCACGGAGCCATGCAGAGGTGAAGCTGCACCTGGGCTAGGGCTCGGCCGGGATGCCTCTAAGAAATCAAGTTGCACAGACGACCTGCCTGTCCCCAAATGGGCCCGGGGGACCGGTCACACTGCCGCTCGAAAGCTGAGGAAAAGCCTGTTTACAGAGCGAGTGTGGCTCGGAGCCTGGCCTCCGAGAACCCCACCCCTGCCCCGAGCTGGGTGAGCCTGTGGTTCCAGTCGTGCCTCCGCTCCGGGGGACAGGCGCCCCAGGCCCCGCCCCACAGGGCTGCTCTGTGGCCACTGGCAAGCCCACTCAGGCCTTGTCAAGACCCACACCCTTCCCCGCGTCTGTGTCCAAGTCCCCCTTCTCTGCCCTCACCCCACCCCCGCGAGCAGCACCCTCTGCTCACTGCGGGGCCTTGTTAGCAAGTTACTAAATTTGACATATTCTCAAGAAAGATTTGTCTAAGAAATATCTTTTTCAAAAAATATGCCCAAAGCTGAGTCTATGTGTAAAATGTACCTGGAGCCCAGCGATCTCTCTAGAGATCCTCACCCCTGCCCCAGGGCCCCTCCTCACCGCACGGTGCACCCCTTCAAGAGCCCCCTTCAGCCCCTTGCTGCGGGGGGGGGGGTCCCGGGGCTTCCACTCTCAACAGGAACTGGAACCAAAGACCCCCACCACCAACCCCCTCC